AATGCATAAGTGGACCAAATTGGAATATAAGAAGGAAGTACGTTTCAAGCCGGTCACATTTCTTTCCTTCGTGTTTTTAACGAATTATTGTTAACCATGATGCTCTGCTCTGACGATGTCCGTCACATGACGGACGAAGACTCAGCGAGGATTCATCGGGGTCTCAGGGAGGGCCTATTCGCACAAATCTACAACCATAGCTCCAAGACAACCCTCCTACAGTCTCCGGTGGAACCGACTTACGAATCCCTTCTACTTGCCTCTTCAAACGAAATGAAAGGTACTCCAACATCAATCCATTCGTAAATTCTTAAAAACCCAGTTTTTCTACAGTGATGCATTGTTTTTTTGACCTTATTCAAATAAATACCATAACATTTTACTCTTTCATTATGAGAAAATTCATAGGTTAGACTGGGCCATCTCCTTAACTCACTTATTTGCTTCTCTTTCCTTTCTTTATCATGACAGGTCGTTCTCCGTCGTGATCTTAAGATGCATACTGAGCTGGCCAACCACTGAAACTTTCTTTTTTCAATTTCTTTTGAAAAACTTCGATTTGTTATTCTTATATAATCTAACTGCTTTTCTTATTTTAACTTTTCTCATTAAACCCAACTTCGATTTTTATTTTCTCTTCCTTATTCGACTTACTTTTCCTAAACTCGCTCTATATATCTGACAATTCTTTCTAGGATATATTGCAATCCTGGCATGATTGTTTTAACAGTCCCTTTGCATAGGTTTTAGCGTGAGGCTTATAAAGAATGTAATCTGTTTGATGAGTCGCATTTGCTTGAAAATAAGTCTTTCATCCCTGTATCACTTTTGTATAAACTCCTTCGATTTTATTTCCGTTTTTTTCACAAAATATCTGCTTTTCTGTCCAATCTTTTAGTAGCGAGCATTATTCCTTCATCACATTTCCTACTTGTTTAATCTCTCCTAGTTATGTCATGTTACATGATATTTTTCCGAATAAAAATTCATTATAAATTTTTTAGTTTCTTTGTTTCTTGTACTATTACAATATCTTATGGTAACTTGTTTCGAGAATTAAATATATTTGTAGCTGTTCAGTTAATCCATGTAAACTAAATATTAATGGTCATAATTGAGTAGGGTTACTTTTGTATGCTATCCATTTCCCCTTTATTCTCATATTTACTACGTTCCAAATTACTTGCTTGCCTGAGGTCTATGGAAGAATAGTTTAAAATTATCATTCAGCAACCTTGTTATCTTTAAACTCATTTATTTATTGGTATTAAAGTCCGTCAGGCCTTGTATTTTTTACCTAATGTTTCATATTTTGTCATTTCAAAAAATATATCCAGAAATAAACTATGCCTTTGCAGCTTAATCTCAGATTGTTTTGCCCTTTTGAGTATGAAGAATTTAGCTTCAATACGTTTTCCTACAGTTTTATACAAAATATACATTAACCAAAGAAAATATGACGCTCATCTTCCCTGGAATTATTTGTGCTCCTTCAATATTTCATGTTAAATGCAAATTTAAAAATTATCCGAAGGTATGAAGACCAAGATGGTGCGTCTTTTGTGTGGTCACAGTCTCCTTTCGTTGTACAGAAGTTGTTTGACCTTGTTTTCGCAACTCGGTCATATTGGTAGAAAGACTTAGAGGAACGCACCTTGTCCGGAGTCCATTGTATGCATAATCATTTCCAAAGTTGAACCGTGGACGTGGTGCATTCCCAAACGTTTCGCCGGCATCGACAATGAGTATCGCCATTCTTAGTACCATACAAGAACTCGTCAAAGATACAATTGAAGCCGATCCCTTGACCAAACATGTGTTAGTCAATTATGGTATCTCTCCTTCTGCCCTGGGTTATTCGCGTTTCCGGTATCATCCTATCACGCCTTCACTGTCACATTTTTTTACTAAATTAATTAGATGTGGTACGGTGTGCCCTTTTGAGCGGCCTTCATGAGAACCATCCGCACTCCACGCTGGCCTTCTCACCCCCCTTCATTGTTGTGCTAGGAATGTTGATCAGAGTCTGCCATATTGTTACGCCGTCCTCCTTCCATAGGTCTTACCACAGTCTCTCTTGCTCCGTAAGATCAGTCTGCCCTCTCCCTTGTTCACATATTTCACTCGACCCCTGCCACTCGAGGCGATATTGACCCTACCCTGCGTTTTTGTGACTAATTCGAGGCTAAGGCCTCTGAGTAAGTCTCATGATCAGGCCTTTGCCATATGGACCACGTTTCTTATAAAAACTAATGTCAGCCCACAAGCTTCCATCGCCGCCGCGTCTATCCTCTTTCTATCTTTAATAGCAAGTCTATGGCTTCCCATGCCCCAGTCTCTTGTATGCCAACTAACAAACGTTGT